TGTATGTGGCCCTATGGTTTTTATATTATTATACTATATTAGTTACATTTGTATAGTAATCCTTTCCATACATACACTATTGAAAAAAAAAAAAAATACCAGCATCAACAACAACAGCACCTCTGATCTCGATTGGACCACCAAGATGTAATCGACAACAACGTAGGATGCTAGTGCTGTGGAGACTAGGCCTACTAGCTGCAAAATATAGAGACCAATGCCACAGGTGCCGATATGGAACCATTGCCAGTCGTACCCATGTAGCTGAGTGTCTTGGATTGATATCTAAATGGCTATGATTTCATTCCATTTGCATTTGATACCTCTGGATTCTTGGCCGAAGAAGCTGTAGAAGTGCTTAGAAGGATCCAGAAAGTCACGAACAACAATGTGATGACTGCAAATGAGGGCAAATATATATTTAGGAGGGTGGGATTTGCCATTCAGAAGGGTTTGGCTGTACAATTAGTAGCCAGGTTCTAGGGCGCGATAAGGCCCAGTATTTATGAAATATTGTAACAATTCTCGTAATAGAGAGGTTGCGCAAGTGCCCATATGTTTGTGTAGAATGGCGCGTAAATGCTGCGCTCAATATATAATATATGTGTGAAAAAGGCGTTGCGCATTTTAGTAGTTTGTTTTGAAAATTATGTGTAGACGTTTCAGGGAAAGACACGTATTGGGAGACCTCAAGGAGTTAGAAAAATCGTGTCGTTCAATGTTAATTCAACATGGATCCATTATATGAACTAGGTATATCTGGAATACTGCGTGAAAGATTGTGTAGTGTCGTTTTTGTCGATTTAGTCATTTGATTTACACACCCAGCAGGTGATGAAACTTCAACGGTAGATAGCTTAGTACGTGTTCGTATCGGTGGACTAATGGAATTGACCTTCTTCCTACGACAATGATGCGTGTTACGTCTCCATTCATCCACCACGAATATTAAACGTACTTTGGTGGTATCTATGATCACGGGTATAAAGTGGCCAACACGAGCTCGGGTGATAAACTAGTATCATATGACAACGGTGCATTCTTGGTTAAAAGATCCAATAATGTCTATCCACTGGACATTAGTCTGCACTCTCCTGTAGTTGCCAATGTCTCTCTCTTGGACATAACAACCCTATGGCATCGAAGACTTGGCCATCCATCTGTCAATCGTATGAAAAGCACTCTTCCAGACATCGACTTTGACTCTCATTTGCAAGAATGCCGCTCTTGTATTCGTGGAAAGATGTCAGAGGACTCGTATCCAGCATCTAAATCACCTAATCCATCTGTCTTGGAAGTATTAGCAGCCGATGTTATGGGTCCATTCCGTAAAGCATCTAGAGATGGGTCTATTTACTACTTGGCTGTCATAGATATTGGTAGCCACTATGGTTGGATTATCCCATTGAAGAACAGGGCAGATGCTACTCCTCGCATTGCAGATCTCATTCGCCTCCTAGAGACTCAATACAGCGACCGTAAAATCAAGGGCCTAGAGACCGATAATGCTCCTGAATTCACCGGTAAAGTCATGCAGGAATTCTTACGTAGTCGAGGGATCATCCATCGACTCACTATGGCTTACTCGCACGCTCAAAATGGTGCTATAGAACGATACAACCGCACTATCCAAGAACGTAGTAAAACAATGTTGGATGCTGCAAATTTGGATTCTCGTTTTTGGGGTTGATGGTATGCTCACGGCTGTCTATTTGGAAAACCGGACTACTACCAGTGCTCTCAAAGCTCATATCACACCATACGAAGCTCTCAACGGCAAGGCTCCAACTTGTGATAATCTTCGTATCTTTGGGTGTGATGCCATCTGCCACGATCCAACACAGCTCGATAAACAGAATCCACGAGCCATAGATGCTGTCTTTATTGGCTACGAACCTACTCCATTTGAATCAATTAGAGGCTGGCGTTTTTGGGATGTAGAATCACGAAAGATTTTTTATTCACGAAATGTGATTTTCTTGGAAGAATCTAATGATACCATGCCAAAATCTAAATTGTCAGACGTAGCTGGTATAGATGCATCTGGCAAACAAAGCTTATCTCCGGCATCACGTAAATTGGCTGCGAAAAACACTGATAATCAGCTCTCGACGAGATCAGACTTTATGGAATTCCTCGATGAATCAGCATCCGACACCGATAAACTTGAACCTCCTTATCGTGCTCCATCTCCTCAACTGGTTTTGAGAGCTTTAGCCAGGAATCCTGGCCAGCAACGCCGTGTAGAGGTCCGAACACCTTCTCCAGAGTACGAAGATGCTAATAGTAACCATGATGGAGATCGAGGCGACGCCTCTCCTGAGCCAGATCCTGCTCCTGCTCCAGGTTTTAATGAAGATGAAGAGGAAAACCAACCTCGTCGTAGTCGTCGTGAGAATGCTGGGAAGATTAAACCATGGTGGATCGTCAATGCTGCTACCCTTAAAGACGCACCCAGTAACCATACCAACAGTGTCATCGTACCTCACTCCTTTAAAGCTGCCATCAAGTTTGATGAGGCTACTTCATGGATCACTGCTATGTCTGAAGAAATATCTGCAATGGTCGCAAATGACACTTGGGAACTAGTAGAAGCTCCTCGCTCAGCACGCATTCTTCCTGGCAAGTGGGTATACACTCCCAAACCAGATAAGTATGTTGTTGTCACTCGGTATAAAGCTAGGTGGGGTAGTCCACGGAAATCGTCAGATTGACGGAGTCGACTTCACCGAGACGTTTGCTCCAACATCCCACCTTCCAACTCTCCGAATTCTTATCTCGTTGATTGCTGCTCATGGCTGGCATTCTAGCGCTTTCGACATTACTACTGCTTTCTTAAACGGTGAAATGTCTGAAGAGGTGTATGTGCGTCAACCAACTGGGTTTGACGATGGAACTGAACGTGTCTGCCGTCTTCATAAATCACTGTATGGCCTTCGTCAAGCTCCTCGTGTATGGTTTCAGCTGCTATCCTCTTGGATGTTGGAACATGGTCTTTTGCCGTCTAATGGTGATCCGTGTCTGTATGTTGGCAAGTCTAGTCATGGTCAAGACATGTATGTCCTAGTACATGTTGATGACGTTTTGATCGCATCGCCTTCTGCAGAAGCAATTGCTGAACTAGAGTCATACTTGGAGTCATCGTTTCGTTTGGAGAAGGGAGGGGACCTTGTATGGTTTCTGAACATCAATTTCGAACGTGACTTCAAGAGGAGTAAAATCTACATGTCTCAAGTCAAATATGTTGACGACATTCTCGGAGCATTTGGAATGACTGATTGTAATGCCCAACCGACACCTCTAGCACCAGGATATGATACTCCACAACCAGACTCACCACCTTGTGAAATGCCTAAATATCAAAAGGCGCTTGGAATGCTGCTCTATTTAGCACGATGCACTCGACCAGACTTAATGACTGCTGTCTCCATTTTGGCCAAGTACTCATCTAATCCTACCCAGTATCATTGGGCTGGTATCATCCATATCCTTAGCTATGTAAAAGGTACTCGTGAATACCGACTAAGTCTTGGTGGTGCTGATCTGCTAGTTTACTCAGATGCGGACTGGGCCAAAGACGTCAAAGATAGAATCTCTAGATCTGGTGTCGTAGCATTGATGGGGACTGGAGCCGTATGTTGGAGCTCTAGGAAGCAACAACCTGTAGCCCAGTCGTCAACTGAAGCCGAATACTATGCTTTGGCTGAGGCAGTAAAGGAAGTCTTATGGCTGCAAACTCTGTTGAAAGGCATCAACCAACCAGTAAAGCTTCCAACTACCATTCACGAAGATAATAGAGGTGCTCAGCTAGGATAGTGGCTGAAAACTCAGTCTTGTTAACCCGTGTAAAAGATATAGATATCCGTTACCACTTCTTGCGACAACATGTTGCTAATGGGACTGGAGTCTTGGTTGCTATAAGCCGACAATTGAACATATAAGAGTATTTGGGTGTGAGGTATGGGTTCTTGTGCCTCCTGAAACAAGGCGAAAGTTAGACAAACGTGTCACAAAGAGAATTTACGTTGGCTGGATATCCAAAACCATAATCAAAACCATGGACGGTCTAACGGGGCGGGTACAAGCTGCTAGATTACAACACTGCGTGTTTCGAGAAACAGTCTTCCCATCCATCAAAGATCATTTCACATATGACAATGATGACTTTGACGATGAGCCAAACGAAGAGGAAGCATCGCAACGAGTTAAGTTTCTACTGAGCAAAAGAAACCAACTGTCAATTACAACAACAAAGAGAAAACGAGATGTCGACACATACGATACAGAGGAAGAAGACTCCGCATAAGATTCACAATCTGAGGACGAGAGAATGCCTGATAGTAGCAGTGACTGACTACTCAGACGATGATCTGCATGACACAACAGGTGTTAACAGAAACATGAAAAGTGTACCAGTCAACGATCCCAACGAACTACCTCACCAGAAAAAGAGCTCCAATGTCAAAAATACACTGTCTGCTAGTAATTCACCGTGGCGAAACCCCTCTTTCCGTCAGGGGGAGTTGGCTAGGAAACCACCGATTGACGTGAGCAAAAGTAGGAGCACAGACAAACAACAAAGGAAGCAAATAGCTCCGAAAGAATTTGTTGTCGATACAAATATACCTCGACTTCGACAAAACCCAAAGAAGAAAACAAATTCAATAGCAGCAGAGGTTGATGAACCAAACTACGTGAATATGTTCACCATCGAGAATGTCGATGTGCGAACCGCAAGTGAAACAATTCCGAGATCGATTGCTGAAGCGATGAAACTTGCGTCATGGCAAAGTTGGAAGCAAGCAGTCGAGAAGGAATACAACAGTCTCAACGAAAGACAGGTGTTCAGCGAACTAACGGAACTACCGAAAGGTAGAAATGCTATAGGTAGCCGACTATTGCTGACACTCAAGACAAGCCCAAGCAAGAAACACAAAGCGAGACTGGTTGCAAAAGGGTTTATACAGCGACATGGTGTAGACTACACGCACACTTACGCTCCAGTGCTGCATATCAATACATATAGGTATTTAATCGGCATTGCAACTCAATGAAATGGGAAATGAGAGCACTTGATGTGGAAACGGCATACCTCCATAGTGAAATAGAAGAAGAGCTGTACATGAAAGTGCCTGACGGAGTGGAAACTCCCCAAATATCAAAAACCCTTGCGTTAAAGTTCAAAAATCACTCTATGGGTTGAAACAAAGTGGAAGACAATGGTACCAGAAGTATGCAGATGTCTTGAAACAACAAGGATTCATCACAACCGAGGAAGCACCAACAGTATTCTTCAAACTGTCAAAAGATGGTCCGTGTATAACCAGTATATATGTTGACGACACCAACGCAATGGGGACACCAGCAGCAGTGGATTGCACCACACAAATGCTGAAGAATACCTTCAAGATGAAGGACTTTGGGACAGTAACGGCTTGTATAGGCGTTCAAATTGATCACTTGAACGGAGGTACATTCTTACATCAGACCCAAATGGTGGATAAAATCCTCAATGCAACAAACTTGGTTGACATTCCAACAGAGACAACACCATTGAAAGTTAAAGGTTCGGTGGGATGATGATATCTACCGAAGTCTAACAGAAGATGAAGAAGCATATACGTACATTGAGTCTTATAGATCAATCATAGGAATGTTGTCTTATCTTGCCAATACGACACGGCCTGATATAAGTTTTTCAGTAAACTTGTTGGCGAGATTCTCGAACAAGCCCAGCAATCGCCATTATGAAGGGATTAAGCATATTTGTGCGTATTTGAAAGGCACAAGAGATTATGGGTTGTTCTTCAGGAGAACGACAGATACAACTGTAAAAGTCATGGGATATTCTGATGCTGGTTACTTGTCAGATTCGCGTACAACAAAGTCACAAACGGGATATGTGTACACGGTTAATGGAACGGCCTTCTTGTGGCATTCATGCAAACAACCCTTGAATACAACATCCTCGTATGAAGTAGAGCTTATGGCAATGTACGAAGCTTGCAGAGAATTGACATGGTTGATGAAGTTCTCAAACACAATGCAAGACACGTTGAAAGAAGGAATATTACACAAACCAATTCCAATGTACATGGATAATGAAGCTGCCTTCAACAACATAACCCAAGGGTATATTAGAACTCGTGCGAACATGCATATACAACCAAAGTTCTATAAGACTAAAGAGTACATTACTCAAGGTCTAATGAGACTCAACCATATACCTGGTGATGACAACCCAGCTGATATCTTGACCAAAACACTACCCACATTGGCGCATGAGAAGCATGTGGCAAAGCTAGGGCTTATTTCGCAGAAATCCCTATTTGAAGCTAGCTAGTGTTGAGTGGGAGTGTTGATATCTCCGTGTGATAGACAACCCTAGCTGCGCTTCATCCATTTGTAGTGGTTCCTGATTGGTATCTGACAATACAATCATTCACACACATTGATCAGTGCAGTTTCGCGTATAGCTCAACACTCAGCTTAATCATCTTCACATGTCTGCGCACTCATCACAACCAAAAAAAATTAAGCTATATGCCTCCAGGTTCTTTGTTTAGAATCGTCTTTTTTCAAGGTACTTTAGCTGTTCAGCTCGATCTGCTGCCTTTGGTCGTGATGCCCTCGTTTTTTGAACGTCAAACTCAATTTCACTGCCTCTCAGCTCTTGCCATATAATGTCCTGCTTTAATTTGAAACATGGGAGATTCAGCAGGGTCGCCATGCTTCCTCTGTTGACATTGAGAATTGTGGAAGTTGCGTTTGTGATACATGAGCGTACGTGCGAAGCGAACATTTTTTAAAAAGTATTCATCTGATTTTTTGATTTATCATTGGCCCTTCTGTGTCCGTATAATCATTCCATTATTATTATCACTTATTATACAGTACATCTGACATATCAAATACTTTGACTCCAGACTTCCACTCTTAAATCTACTCTCAAACACTTCACTCAAAGTCTACTACACTACACTCAAAATGACCTACTTATCTCTCTCTATCTCTGTGCTTCTTATCACTTGTTGCCTTCAAAGGCTAGACGTGAATTGGTTTGTCAAGATTGATTGTATTGTGTCGCAGTCTGAATCTGGAGCTTCTGCTTGGCAGACTTTGACTCGGGAATACATCGTCTGTCACCACTCTCTTCTATATTGAGGTAACTCAATAGACAAAGAATCGAATAGTCAAGAAAGTCGACACGATCAAAACAACACGACGTGTCATAATTCTACTCATAAAAATCATCAGGTCATTTATATTTTTTTTTTTTTTTTTTTCAATAGTNNATAGTATAATAATATAAAAACCATAGGGCCACATACACCGGCCTATTATATCCCTTGGGATACAGACCACCTATACACGTGGTTCAAACACCTTAATGTTTAAACCACACTAATTTATATCAGGTCATTTATAAAGAAGCACGGCAACAGAAGGACTAGTACTATGGGTAAAACTGTTTCAACGAGCTCTCAACAATACCTTTGATGAAGTTGAAGGCCTACAGGCAGCAGTAAGGCTACCAGCAAATCGTACTGTCTATGACCTGTTGGACTTTCTCAAGAAAGATACCTTCAAAGACGATCTTCCTGGTATCGGTGCTGCTAGACTGGAAGTTTTTGTGGATGATACGTTTCAGAGGGCCTTGCTATCATCGATCAAGAACTTCAGTCCACCAGACGAGGCCAATATGTATTGTCAGGCCACCTCCTCGTGACGGTATGTCCCTGCTCACTAGTTGAGTACTCTTTGTCAACTTAATTCATATTTGCAAACTATTTGCAAACTTTTGGCAGCTACCAATGAAAACATCGTCGCAGAAGAAGGACGTATTGCCAGGGAATCTTGGGACTCGTCTAGGCGAAGATGCATATGGTGCTCAAGGTGGTGGAAATATCCTTTCTTTATTTACGGTAAAAACGTTGAACTTTCTATGCACTTCAGATTTTTCCAATTTATAACGCTCCGTTTTTGCAGCGTCCTCGACGCTCTCTGGTCACGTCTGAATGGATCGAATTAATGAGCGCTATATTATCTGTATTTGGGGGTATAGTGACCATCGGTATCACCGTGTTTGGTTTGGAACCTTAGGAGGTGATCGTGGTCGCTACTATAGCTGCCATTATCACAGCTTTGTTGATGTACCCATTGGAGGTACATACGAGTCAAGGAGCATATATCTGGAAGCTACGCATAAGTATTACACGTGCTGTTCGACCAGAAACAGCGGTTCCTCCTCCACCAGCTCAAACGTAAATTCACCAAAAACATTTGGTAGAAATAACAGAATGCTGATTCTATATTTCATGCCCAATAAACATTTTCAAGCATCTGAAACCCATCACATGTTTATTGAAATTGCGTTTTTTGTTCTCATGGCCAAACTGGGTCATAAAATCTACACATCGACCGAATGTAATTCTGCAGAGGGTCAAGAGCTGGCACTCTTCTTCTTTTTCTTTATAGGCTGAGCCTCCCCGCCAATGAATTTTAGCAATTCGTCGACTGGAAGATGTCCTCGTGAGGCTCCATTTTCTGCCGTCACTGACTTGACTAGTTTCTGTTTCCTTTCTTGTCTCTTTTTGGATTCCTGTTCCTTTTTGGCCTATGTGGATGTAGATTGAGGTTGTTAGAGTTCAGGTGTTATGTCAGCAAAGAAAAAAGAAGGCTGTTGATGATATAAGTATGGCCCAAAAAAAAAAGCTAGGGGTAGGGTAGGGGTAGGGTTTTTTTTTGGGCCATACTTATATCATCAACAGCCTTCTCAGTAATGGTTCTCAGCAACGCTGCAGATTCCTGTGTTCGAGGATCATTCAAACCAAGCTTCTCCTTGTAAAAGTTGAAGGCAGCTCGTTCAGAAGCTAATGCTTTGCGATAGTCACTCATCAAGAAATACGATTTCGTCAATGACTGATATTTCGTCAATGACTGATATGATACTGCTGTCAGAATAGCATCACGACCAAGTAATTCTTCATTTGTTGCTGCTGCTCTTTCAAAGAATAGAGTCGATAATGGGTAGTCCTTGAGTTTTTGAAGCATGGTAGCAATATTGGCCTAGATTTTTTGAAAAGGAAAAATGAGAACAAGAGATTGAAAGACATTTTTGATGAAGCAAAGTTTTCTTACATCTGCTGAGGCATCCTCAGGATGTTTATCACCTCCAGTCAACATCTCCCAATACTGAAGAGCCCAACGCATATACTTGAGACCAGCATGCAAGTTGTTGAGTGAGTATTCAAAGTATCCCAAATTCATCTGTTGAGGGAAAAAAGACCACAGTTGTTACATTAATGTGAAACACATCAGGATCTCAAAAATTGCATCTTAACGATCACTAACTTAAATGTTGTTGTAAAGTATCAGGATCATCAACGCCCAAAGTCCGTTCCAAAACAATAACACCCTTTCTCTGCAACTCACAAGCAGTCTCAAAATTCTTATTGCTGAAATGTATCATTGCCAATTGAGCCAACGCACGACCCGTCTCAGGATGCACAGGTCCATATACTTGTTCGTTAATAGTGACAGAGTCCGTGATGAGTTCTACACCAAAATCTTTCTGGCCTTTCGACAAGGCCATTTTACCATGCTCGGCAGCTTCTTCGACCATACCAGATCGGGGTTCTGGGGCTTTTATGATTGGATACAGGTTGATGACATCGGATGGTTGGAAGGATACAGCTTGTTGAGCTAGACCATAATCCCGAGCTTCGATTTGAATACCAACTTTGATACATATAGATCGTAGCAGGCGTAGACGACGGGACTTCCACCATGATGGTGCGAGGGTGTATCGGAATCGAGACAGGACTTCTCGTTGTATACGTTCGTGTAGTAAAGCTGGTGTTAATGCAGCAAACGGTGGTGGTGCATTGGAGTTTGGCAGGAGCTAGTGGTGTGTGTTGTGAGCAACTACGTTTGCATATGACTTGACCCGTCATTTTCGAAAGCGACAAAAAACGAACCAATGGACTTTTCAAGATTACTTACAGAGGAGTGCAGAGATTCAACTGGTGCCGTAACAGTGACTCCGTCATCAGAAAACAGACAATGCAAAAAGTGACTGACACAATGAGACCAGAGATAGCTTGGAGTATCCTTTAGATAGTCTCGTAGCACCTTCTTGGCACCTCGAGCCATCATTTCCTGTTAATATAATTCCAAGGTATACTTGATACCATAATTTGGAAGCTTGGTTTCAAAGAATTCGGCGAGGTATCCTAAATACCTCATATTGATGCCTCTGGCGTGCATCTTTTTAGTCAATGCTTTTCCATCCAAAGGGTGTGTAGAAGGGTTGTTGATTACATCGACGATCTAATTGCGATATGAAGTGAGACCTTCTGTGCACATTTTTTTGTCTGGTAGAAGAGCTCTGAATTGAACTTACGAAACCGGGTATCATTTGGTCAGTGATGTACTTGGAAGCTTGACGGACGATTTCATTTTCAGCCTCAATGACCTCTTATCTGAAGAATCCTTTGTTCCATTTTGCTCAGTCTCAGCGACACCATTCTCATCTGATCCATTTGCTCTTGATGAATCGACACCATTTTCGACAGCATGACCATTTCCAATGGCTTCAACTGGATCATTTTCTACAGCATTGGCCCTTTCTGCCTTTTCTGCAGCAAATTCTGCCTCAAGCTAGGACACAATTCATAGGAAGATGTGTTTTAGTTCAGACTTGACAGAACACGAAAAAAAACCTTACTAGACGATCTGTCATTCAACTTACTTGAGGACGATTAGCCAACAAGAACTCTCTAACTTTAAACTCCATAAAGTTTTCAATGAGCTCATGACGTAAGAACACCATCTTGTGCGGATATGGGTTCTCAGCAGCTTCCTTCTCGACTCTTTCCAAGAATTCACAACCCACTGCTGTCAATCGATACAAGTCCAGCAAGTACATGCGACCATCATTACCCAAAATTCCTTTAGTATCTACTGACGTCCATAACGAATGCGACTTGCCATCCCCGTCTTCAACGACATGTTCGACCAGATGCAAATCGGTAGCAACTCGTTGAGCCAATTCATGGAACTTTGGATCGCTGGCAATCTCTTTACCAGAATCGACCGCACCATACGTGACTGCATTCTGCTGCTGCTGACTTTTACGTAGCAGGCCAGGTATGATTGTTTGAGCGAGAATACGACGACCAGCATAGTCAATCAATGCACTCTCTAGTGTATAACACCCTTCAATTTCTCTCGAGTTCAATACACGGACACCATCAACGTCTTTTGATATAGTGACGTGGGCTGCTTCTGAGCCTCCAAAGCTTTCCAGTCTACGATCAGCATCTGCACCAGCAGAGAAGAAGATGTTTTCGTGGATGAATATTTGATGGGATTCAGGCTCTTGAGGATTGATTGGCTGTAGGGCCTTTTTGGCAATAGCCAAGGCACCTTTGATGGCAGCATCAACGAATTCAACATGTAGTTTGGTGGATGTGGCGTCTCTTATTATACGCTCCTGTTTGTGCGAATATTGGCAGTTGTCAGTGTTGAGAAAACACATCACCTCTTTTCTTGTTTGTAAAACTTGCCTGTGGTGTAGAATGTGGCAACTCCCGACTACTTTGAATATCTTCATTCCAATCACGAGCGCCCCACAGTTCCATCGCATCAGTAGCTGACATATACACATCTAGAGTTCTAGCTGAATCAGCAGAGTGTGGTCGAGACTTTACACACGAAGGATGAGATACGACGTTGGAAGCCACCAACATGATTTCGAATGGATGACGTTTAGCAGTGATTTCTTGCAATATAGTAAAATGCGATGCAAATAATGGAGATGCGGACGATAACATGCCAGGAAGTGTATGCCAGTGATGCGATTTCGGTAATGCTGGAGCTGGATTAAAGACTGTATCGGTTGAGCTGTTTATGGAAAGAGCGGATGCTGAGCAAGTTATGTGCAATTGTTCGTTTTCTAGCGAGGTTGCTACTAGATATGTAAGGCCGCCCATCATTCGACGTTGATGAGGTATAGTAGGTGATCGGACGCCATCTGGTACAGCATGTTCAAGGGAGGATGTTGGTATATCATCGAATTCATAGTCATGAAAGGGATGTTTGATTGATGGATTGGCAGTCTCGTCAGCGTTTGCTGCTGCACGAGAAGGAGATGGTGCGTTGTGTACATTTTTTTTCTTGCCACTGCTCTTTTTAGGTGTCTTTGTCTCCATTAAAGTTGCTATATCGACATTCTCGCCAGATATGGCAGTCAAGTAGGAGATTCCAGCATCGACACCGTCTTGAGGCAATATATTGTGAAAGTAACTTAACACTTCCCGAAACCTAGTTACGTGTATCCTAACATCTGTCCGAGTATGGATCTATATGATGACGAAAGTGATTAATCTGATTCCAGTATTCTTCGATTCCAATGTTGGTTATATGTTGAGCCCACTGAAAGGGCCAGCAAGCGTGTTCGGCTCAAACTGGCTTCTTTCAGAAGGCATCATTTGAGAACAAGGTTCAAGAACACATTCAAACTTCGAGTTCACACATTTGCTGCAGCAACTTGAGGACGATCTAGGACGATCATATTGCATGTTAGCATTGAACAAATAGGACAGTCCTCTCAAACTACATTCAAACATCAACATTTCTCAATAATATTCAGACCTGTGTTGCTTCAAAGCATATGAACAGGGTGTCGAGGAAATCAGACATTTGGCACCATTTGATCCAAGAAAGGGAGCAGCAAGGAGTGAGTTTATGATACCGGATCGATTGCCGTTGACCGGACCTCCTCGAAACGCCAAAACTTGGTTGACTGTCAGGCTGAACTTCGCTTGAGTTGTCGATGTTCTTGAAGAGAGTGCGGAAACCTAACAGATTTCACTAAGAATGATTGTAATATGTTAGTTATGTGTGCATGCATGCTCTGCGCTGCATCCCTCCTCCTCCTTCTCGAAAACTGTGAAGCAGGTGGTTGGTTTTGATGTTCAGAGTTTGACTGTCCAGTTCTCCATTGATCCATTGGGGGAGCAGTGTGAGAAGCGGTAGCGGCTACGTGTTGGGCATGCAGAAGAAGCCGTTCTGGTCGAAACCGCTACTGATCCTTGTCTTTTCTGAGCGAAAGTTAAAATCATGAAAACACGGTTTTGGATATATACTTCTAATGGAGGAAGTAGTCGCATGGGTCAAGCTATACGATGGAGGTCCCAAGAGTGTCTTTGTTCAAGTTGAAGGCATGCGTGCAGCTCAAGTAAGGCTGCCACCAGATAGGAATGCTTACAATTTATTGGAATATCTCGTAGAGGATACATTCAGGGATGACTTGACTGGTTTTGTTGCTGCTGAATTGACTGTGTATATGGACAAGGATACAGAATGGAAGACGCCTGTGAGACCAGACCTATCATTCGCCAACATTGCTAAAACATCATCTTACAAGTTTCCGCTCAAAGTTGTCAGACCGAAAAAACCACAAGGTGTGTCCATGCTCCCTATTCAAGTATGCTTCAACAATTTTATTCATCCCTCGTACTCCTATCCCCATCAAGTTTATTCATCTCGTGTTCCAGTTGCCCGACCACGTCCACGTCCAGCTTCAGCTCCAGCATTGGGTCCAGGTATTTATATATACGTTTAGATTCATTGGTTTCACTAGTCTCATATGATTTAACGACTTTGGTATTTCTTGTCTCATAGGATTACTCAATCGGTTCATGGTAACTCAGAGACAGCCAAACAAAGACAAGAGGAGATTTATGGAACTCACATTTGGTTCAGACCCTTTTAGGAATCATGGGAAAAACTGACGCTCGCGAAGCGCAGCCTAGTTCTGGCAGTGACGACGCCTTGCGCAACAATGGGATACGATACGATTATAGTGGGGCGCTTGATGGGAACAGTGGAGGAGGCAGTGGTAGCCTTGTGCAGACTGTTGGTGGGGATAATCGTGGGAGTGGTATTGGTCGAGTGGGCACCACCCGAAGGCGCGGGTTTGTGAGACGCAATTTGTAGCTACAATTTATTTCGCAGAAAGGATCATTCATCTCTTAGAGTCAATCTTGTAATTGCGGCTGTTGTTAGTTAAAACTAGTCTGAACTGCAGGATTTTGATTTCCTGTTTGGATGTTTTTGTGGTGACAGAGCCACATGGAGCAAACGAACACAAGCGGCTACATGAATCATCAAACATACCCTCTCGATGGTCTCATCACCTTCAATGAGCTCTTGATATCCCTTCTTGGATGCTGGATCCAACAATGAATAAACATCTGGCTCATCTTCTTCTTCCAATACAGACTCTGCTGGTGAACACCTAAGAAGAATACACAACTTAAAGGAATCAATATTTAAATGGGCATATTGATATACGGACATACGGACCACTGCTAGGTAGCTTTATAGCATAGTAAATGCTTGCTCTAAAAGACTGTTTGCAAAAGTGCAAACTCGAAATTTCAGGTCCTGCAATACAAGATGAACGAAACGCGCATGTTTATGTAGAACTTGGTAGTGGCACGTAGACATGCTTAAATCAGTAATTAGCGCGTAATACCTTCCATGGACCCTCTATCATGCCAAAAGTGTTGAGAAGCTCGTCGTTCCTCAATTTTTTGCATCCACGCTTACAAGAATCATACATATCAAACTTGGACAAGGAGAGCACACACGTTATAATTAGACTGGTTCCTAACTGATCTTGGTCCTCTCCGTCTCCCTTAGTAGTCGAAAAGGCTAGAAAGATGACGCAGCAACCAGCAGATCAGATGCAAATTGGACGTGGCAAAGGATCATCGATATTCGAAAACGATGTCATTGGTCGTGACGAGCTTCGCTATGCTGGTAAAAAACTCACAGACCCAATCAACACTGCCGAAGTCAGTTACATTTCTTGTGTAGTTTTTTTTAGTCATTTTTTGAAGCTTTGGTGTTGATTCTTGGTCAATAACTCGTTACGTGCCTAATAGGATAAATGGCGTCTATTACCAGCATTCTTGCAAACAAAAGGGCTCATCAAGCAACATATAGATTCCTACAACTACTTCATCGAAACGGAATTGAAGAAAATCATACAAGCAAACTCGAGGATCGAGTCTGATGTGGATGATCGATTCTGGCTAGAGTGCGTCTAACTTTTTGAGTACATCTGCTATTAGAGATGCTGTCTCGTGATGCACCGCGTCAAAGTTTGATACGCGATAACGTACTGACTCATTCTCAACACCCCTACTTAGATTCAAAGACATCCGTGTCGAACCACCCACAGACTATGATTCTCAAACAGCTGTTGCTCTCAAAGTCACTCCTCAGATCTGTCGATTACGAGATGTCACTTATGCTGGTAACATTGTCGTTGACTTTCAATACACCAAGGGCCTTCAAGTTGTGTCTGCCAGAGGAAAAGCTATTGGTCGCATGCCAATCATGCTTCGATCATCCAAATGTGCTTTGAATGGATTGAATCCTGAAGAGGTCGCTGGCAAGGGTGAATGTCCACTTGATCCAGGTGACTACCTTGCTCGCTCTGTTGCGTTTTGTGCTATCATCGCGTCATACAATAAATGGGAACATTTGAAATCCATGGGCGGCTTCGTTGAATGAAAGACCATTCCTTCATTTGGAATTTATAATTAACTGCATTCGTAAACCTCAACCGCCACCTCACTCATTATTACGCCGATTCATTTAGGGGGATACTTCATAATAAAAGGTGTCGAAAAGGTTGTCTTGATTCAAGAACAATTATCAAAGAATCGTATTATTGTTGAAACAGATCGTCAAGGTCAAATCTCTGCCAGCGTCACCTCTTCAACTCAGGAAAAAAAGTCAAAAACCAACATTGTATATACTAAAGCTGGTCAAGTTGTATTAAAACACAACTCTCTTACTGCTGATATACCCATTGCCATAGTAATGAAGGTGTGTGACTTGTGCTGAGAGACGTGTTACGGTGTGGATGAAGGTGTCCCGTAGGAATGTTGTGGGCTGCTGCGTTTTTGCCCCACCAACTCCAGATTCTCTAATCTCCCTCCTATAACTTAGGCAATGGGAACTCATGCTGATATAGAGATTGCAGAGTTGGTCTGTGGAAGTGACCAGGCCTACTTGAAACTCTTTGAGCAATCGATTGAGTGCCCAACGCCATCGGACTCACCAGTCCTTACTCAAACACAAGCACTACGATATATCGGTCAGCGGGTGCGTCTTGGAAGTAAAACCAATCGTGTGGGATTCAAGCTGGACTGGGTATCGGAAGCACGAGATGTGCTTGCCAATACCGTCCTCGCTCATATACCAGTAGAACCAGTACATGGTCGTTTCAACTTTCGACCCAAAGTTATATATGTCGCATTGATGGTCCGTCGTGTCTTGCAAGCAGTGCTAGAAGGTGGTGCGGTTGATGATCGGGACTTTGTCGGCAACAAACGTCTCGAACTAGCCGGTCAACTCTTAGCTCTACTCTTTGAAGACCTGTTCAAGTCGTGGACCACGTTTGTAAAACGAGCTATAGATACCCAACTCAAAAAAACCAACCGTAGTTCAGTATACGATGCAGCCACTTCCGTATCGCAATCAACACGCTTCATTACTGAAGGTCTCTTCCGAGCTATATCAACTGGTAATTGGAATGTGAAACGTTTCAAGATGGAACGTGCTGGAGTGACTCAAGTATTGTCTCGACTCTCATATGTGGCTACTCTTGGTATGCTCACTCGTATCCAAAGTCAGTTTGAAAAGACTCGAAAGATCTCTGGGCCACGTTCACTTCAGACATCACAATGGGGAATGATTTGCCCTTGTGATACTCCTGAAGGTGAAGGTTGCGGTCTCATCAAAAATCTTGCTCTGATGACACATATCACGACTGACTCGGATGATGCGCCATTAAAGCACCTGGCTTTCCAATTGGGAGTCCAAGAAATATCTAGGATGATAGGTCTCGACTTGTGGAATCACCCAAACACATATCTTGTATTTTTGAACGGTGTCATAATCGGCGTCCATCACTCTGCCACTGTATTTGTACGTCAACTCCGTCTATTGCGTCGTCGAGGACGTATAACTCCATTCGTATCTGTCTGTAAATCCGATCCTCAAAAGTCTGTACATATAAGCGCTGATGGTGGTCGTATCTGTCGACCATTGATTGTTGTCGAAAAGGGCAAATCAAAGATCGGTAAGAAGGAAATCCGAGATATCATGCGAGGATTTCGTACATTCGAAGACTTAGTAGCTGAAGGCAAAGTCGAATACTTGGATGTGAATGAAGAATCAGATGCTATGGTTGCCATGTATGAAAGGAATGTCATACACGTAGCTGAAGATCATCCTGACTTTGAAAATAACACTACTCATTTGGAAATCGCTCCGTTTACAGCCTTGGGTGCAGTAGCAGGATTAGTACCCTTCCCACATCACAATCAATCAGCTCGTAATACCTTCCAATGTGCTATGGGTAAACAAGCTATGGGAGCGATAGCTTATAATCAGCTCAATCGTATTGAAACTCTCTTGTACCTGTTGGTGTATCCAGAAAAGCCGCTAGTAAAAACTCACACAATTGAAATCATTGGATATGATAAATTACCAGCTGGTCAAAACGCTACCGTCGCAGTCATGTCATACTCTGGATACGATATTGAAGATGCTCTGATCTTGAACAAGGCATCATTAGATAGAGGTTTTGGCAGGTGTCAAGTCATGAGAAAGCATGCTATCGTCATGAAGGAATATGCCAACCGAACACATGATCGTATTGCTGATCCTCAAAAGAATGCGTGGAGCCAACTTTTCCCCAAACACAGTATTCTAGATCCAGATGGTATTGCTTATGTAGGAGCCAAAGTTGAACAGGATGCTATCTTGATCAACAAGGAGGTCCCCACTTCCATATCAACACGGGTACCCCGTAGTGATGGAGCTCCCGAATTAGTGGTTGATCCATCAACCATCCCACATAAGCCAGAACCACTTGTATATAGGTATCCCGATACATCTGTAGTAGACCAAGTAATGACATCCATGAACGAAGAAGGCCATCAAGTATTCAAAATGAACATCCGACAAACCCGTCGTCCCGAAATTGGAGACAAGTTCTCATCTCGTCACGGACAAAAGGGTGTTTGTGGCCTGATTGTAAGTCAAGAAGACCTCCCCTTCTCTGACGCTGGAATTGTACCCGATATTATCATGAACCCACACGGTTTCCCATCTCGTATGACGGTTGGTAAATTGATTGAATTTTTGGCTGGTAAAGCAGGTGTATTGGAAGGAGAGTTCCAATATGGAACTGCCTTCAAAGGTGCCAAAGTGGATGACATGTCGGAGATCTTGGTGAGAAATGGATTTGCGTATTCAGGGAAAGATTGTTTTACGTCTGGGATTACTGGCGAGCCGCTAAAGGCTTATATATTCAATGGGCCAGTGTATTATCAAAAGTTGAAGCATATGGTTGTTGATAAGATGCATGCTCGATCAAAGTAAGTTCTTGAATGCGTGAGAGAAGGATGTATAGTCTTGAAGGCCCAAAAGCCTCTGCAATAGAGAGATGCATGAAACCTGGATCTAACACTCGTTTCCTTCAATACTTTATTAGAGGTCCCAAAGCAGCATTAACTCGTCAACCTACCGAAGGTCGTTCCCGTGATGGTGGTCTTCGAGTTGGAGAGATGGAACGTGATTGTCTCATTGGTCATGGAACCGCTTCTCTCTTGATGGAACGACTCTTGTTGTCATCAGATGCATATGATGTCGAAGTATGTCGAGAATGTGGAATAATTGGTGCTTGGCATGGTTATTGCAATTACTGTGAAAGTCGTGCTGAAGTTGTGTCCATCAAGTTGCCTTATGCTGTGAGTTTGCAATTTTGAGTAGCTCTTAGATTTGTTTTTGGTTGCTTGCTTGCTGACACTGTTCCTTGATAGTGCAAGCTTCTCTTCCAGGAACTGATGTCGATGAATGTGGTGCCTCGAATCACTGTAAGTTGCGTGTGCAAACTGCTGGATTTGCGTGTAACTTTTTTTGGCACTCACTGGAACCAAACACAAACTTATTAGGTACAAGAATGGGAATAGAAATCGAGTTGCTCTCGTGTATAAAATCATTGCTCAGGTGTATAAAGGATGACGTAGAACCTCAAAATACAAACAGAATAGCATCTATGTTTGCTACGCGATTTCACGACGGCAAGGGTCAGAAGCAATTGATCCAACTGACGTTAACATTATGTGTCATTCCACTTTGTTCCTTCTCTTCAGAGATTCTGGGTATTCCTAAACTCAAACTCCAAACACCCCAGTATTCACAAACCCACTCGAAAGCTCAATCAAGACACCACATTCGCTCAATCCAAGGGCCTCATCCCCTAGCAAGGCACACGAAAATGAGTAATCCCAATGCAGCAACAGCAGAAATGGGTGCTCTACGTCTCTTTGTCGCAATGGTTGGAAGAGCAGTCTATCCAACGATGCCTGAGCAAATCATCGCCCTGGATAATATCTCTGCTGTACCATAGTAAGACTTGTATTATTAATCGGATTTGGATACGATTAGACAGACTTGCCTTCCGTCTTCTTAGCATTCGCGACATTGATCTTGCACGATTAATGTTGATGAAGATCAAGGATTTACATAAAGTCGCTGGGCGATTGAAGGGAGATGGATTGATTAAGATGTAATTTGATTCGTTTTGTCGCTATATGAGCAAGTTGGAACTGAAAACGTTTGTCTGCTAGGGAAACACGACAATACCAAGTTGCAACAAGTACACATCGAGTCCCGCACACATTCTACACTGTCGATTACGCTCAATTCGTCAACGTTATCAAGTACAAGGTTGCCAAGGTGTCTAGTACGCTTACGCTTGGTGAAGAAAGGGTAATGTTCTTGCTATACGATTTAAGTTTTGGCAGTTTTTTTGACTCATGATGATTCTTTAGGCACAAAGCGAAGCAGGCTACAAGTGCCCGAAATGCAGCTGGCGAGTCGATGCAACAGGAGCTACACGAGAAATTGATTTTAAGACTGGACTGTTTTTGTGTCAGATGTGCAAGACTGTGCTGGAAAGTGAACATGATTTGGATGATCGGGTTGGGAGATACAAAAAGTAAGGATTTCTACCAAGGACGTGGTATTTTACAAGTTTTTACTTTACTTTTTTCTTTGGTAGGTTTATGAATGGGATGAGACCTATTGTTGACAAGCTGAAGGAGTTTGAGAGGTTGACTTTGCCAGAGTATGTTATTAGATATGATTCGCAGAGATGCAGCGCATTGTTCTCACTAGCTATTGAATAGATACAATCCGGGTATACCTCCATCAACTGGTACCAAAGGTACGATGACGAGTCTTGTAGAAAAACAGCATGAATCGTGAAAGATGACCTGAGCAATGGTTTTACTCTCCATTCTTAACGTTTAGGATCTACTCCTGTCCCAACACCAGAATTATCACACCAAGTTGCTGTGGTTCTCGCGTAGGTTTCTTTTCGTACAGAGAATGCACTCAGTTATGCTCACCTTCATATACATTTGTAGTGGTGAAGACAAGACACCACCAGATTCAAGAGAAGGATCGCCTTCTGGTCAGTTTTAGAAGTTTTGCATCAAATACCACATCCTGCCTTTATATCACTAACTTGGAACATACTTCTTTGATTGAACAGTATCATGGTACGACTCCTATCGAAAAGAAGCAGCAGAAACAGTCGATGAAGATGAGACTCAAGTCATGGCTAATGCCAATTCCACTTTGAAACGATTGCATGAGGCAGATGAGTTTGCCGAGTAAGTGATACAAAAAAAGACACACTGCTTCCCTCAAAAGATCATAATAAACTCAGCCAATGGTTTCTCACAGGTTGCGTAACGTCAAGATGGAATTCGAAGGAGAAGACGACGATGACGATGATGACGTGTTTGAGGAGGTCACCATGTGAGAATTATGTACAAAGAAACACACACAATAATTTAAAAACGAAACAATTGTTTGCATGCAATATGATACAATCACTATGGTATGGATGTCTTTACGTGGTGGTATTTGGGCAGTACTTCGTGTAGATAGTCGAGGTGCCGTTGGTGCAAGGCGTTTTGTGATGTCGGTTGTGTTCGGCGACCTGTTCCAAAGATTATCGTATTGTTTGGCAGGGTTTCGTCTGGGCGTGTTGAGCAGTGCACTCCTATGATGCAGTCGTCTCCTATGGTCGTTCCTGGGGATACTCGACCTGATGAAACAAACATAGTGGTGCTGGTGGTGAGCTTTTGTGATGCACAGTTCATAATTAAACCGTTTCAGAGCACTGAAAATTCCGAGTTGCGCAAATTGGCATACATACTCTTAGCTTCAAGCGTACAATTACTCCCCATTCTAACTCCCTCAAAGACGCTTCTCACTCCGAAATGGTTTCCATCTCCAATAATCAATGGCTGGATCGTTCTACGCCACAAAGGTAAGAATCCACACGTCAAGCAATAGATCCCAGTTTGCATACTTACTTGTTGATGATAATTGCATTCTCCTCAATGATATTGTTCTTGCCAAAGATTATTAGACCATCGTTCATGCTCATGATTGTGCATTTGGGGTGTAGGACGTTGGACTGGCCGATCTGGACGGAGCCGGTAATTGTACACTCGCAGATGGTGCTGGTGCCGTCGTCGCGGGACTCTAGGCTGTTATGGGACATTCTTGCGATGTTTGTGTTGCTTGGATTGTTGGACAGAAGGAGGGGGAAAGAACTCAATTGCTCAATATGACGAACATAGGATACTTTACCAAAGGATACAGGATACTTTAAAAAGGGGTTGGCTTCATACTCTGTTTATTGTTTATTTACTTGATCGCGATATTTGCTACCTTAGAAGATGCAAAAGCCCCTTCCTGTTTGCTGCTACACGACAAAAGACCACTGAATAGCTAACCACTGTACGTTGATTGTATCGCTTGCTTTCAATCCCTCAACCTTCCCGCAATGGCACGTTGCACGAAGACTTGACTTCGCATGGGGCAAGTCTTTCATCAGGAGACCCGGTGCTGACCCATCCCAAGAGTTACGAAAAATGAATCTGAAAAAGCTATATCAGCCTCATTTCACAGTGCTTATGCTGTGACTGCTGTTGGCGAAGCCGGCTTTAAATCGGTACGCTATCTTTTTGTTTCGTGTGATAGTCATGCACATTGTAGATCGCAAGGGATCAAGGACAGGGTGATGTTGCCATAAAATTGCTACGTGATGCAGCTTGTTAAGATGGCTGGATTCTTCTTCAAAAGGTTCATCTCGTGACTTCCTGGATCCCATCCTTGAAGCAGGAACTTTCTACATAGCGCGGATCGTTGTCTAAAGAATTCCGTCTGTTCATGACACAGTGAAGCCCCTTCGGGCTTCTCATTGAACCTGTTACAATCGGGTGTCAAAGTCACTGCGGAAGCTCCTCCAGCACTCAAGAAGAAGCTTCAGAGAGCATATGATGGATGGGATGTAGAATTTACTGAGAAGGGTAGTGTGCTCACAGCACAAGCACTCTTTGCTTTGGCGTGGGTCCATGCTATATTGCAAGAGAGAGTGTACCTTTGAAGAGTGCAGTTTGGAGTTGGAGAATCAATAAGTGAAATCGCTCAATTTGGCAGAGGAGTAGATTACGTGTCAAATCAATCTATATGAACATCAAACATTTCACCCTTGAATCTATCATCGAAACGCCGTCTAGAATCTACAGCTTCGCTCTGTCAATGTTTAGATCACGTCTGAAGGATCATAGTCAGTTCTGCCTGATCTTAGACAGCGAAATATGTGCTTCGCAAACCGATGAAGTCACCGCTAAATTCCTATACTGATCTCATAGCTGTCCCGCAGATTTGAGACAGAAGGCACGTGAATAATTCACATCAACCACCCTCGATGGCGGAATTGAAGTTCGCAGTAACAAGGAGGACCGCGGACAGGTTCACAGAGTGACTTGTATCCTACCAGAGTTGCGATATTTACTACTTGGACTTGGAAGGCGTGTGGACCACAGGCTTCGCAGAACATATTCAGCTCTAACCCGAACGTCTAACTATTGGAAGAATGCTGCAAACATTACAAGGTGGATGAACTTGTCGAATTGATTATCGACTTCGTTGTCCATTCAAACTCTTAAAAGCTCAAAAGGATGGACAATATGGATAAGGATCACCAATGTTGCCTAATGAGATCAAGCACCAGGTGCTAGAATATCTTCTAGACAAATGGGGCTCGAAAGAGTACGTCAGTCTTGGTGAAGTAGCTGTGCTCTCAAAGGAATGGAATGAATGTGTATGTTTTTTCACTGCTGTTGTCGTTTTATTCCGTCACCACATTATGGACGTCACTCTGCCAAATCAGACATCATTCGGCCAAGATGCATTGAGTCATGTCAAGACGCTGGTGATGTATGGAAGCCCTATTGAAGACGTTGATGTTGTTGGTACGTGGTGAGTCACAACTTCGCTACAATTCATGTTACAATTTTGTTTGGAATATCTCGTAGATCCAAATCCGTGAGTTTGTAAGCACTTTTTGCTGTTGCTCGAGTAATCATACGAGGCTTGCCATCATCGTGTTTGGTCTTGACTGTGATTCGTTGGTCTGAATGAGATTGGTAGTACTCTTTGCGACAATCCAAGCAGAGCTGAAGGGTGAAGTCCATCGTTGTTGACCAAGTATTTGACATGTAAGGCAGTAGATGCTCCTCGACCGCGACAGAGTGTGTGACAGTGGTCCCATAGATTCGGAAAGTATTTCAAGTAGACTTAGTATCATCAACAGCATTAGTACTGATATTTTGATATGTCTAATCTGAGGGAAAGATGATTCAGTACATGGAAGTAGATCTTGATGATTACATTGTGCACGAGGCTTTGGTGGTGGTAGAGAAGCTTGTTCCATGACACCCTTCTGAAGACGAGGAGTATAAACAACCTGATACCTTTTGCAAAATCGAATAGTCAAATGGACTGGAAGCTGAACACCGCCACTGCTTGTTGAGCACCTGTTCAAAGCTTATCTACCCTCTTGAAAGCCAAAGATATTAAGGGCAGTCCATATAGTAGTCCAGAATATGAGTAACGACATCAACGCTATAAATTTGCGGGAGTGTCAACACACTGACACCAAACTGTCCAAAATTACAACGTTTTCACTTCAGGGTCAGGCTTCTTGAACCTGACCTATGCAGGCTTCCTAGTCTTTGGCTTCGTTTCCGGCTTTGGCTCGTCTGAGAGTAGGTATGGAAGATGGATCAGAAAATGTATGGCGCCGTTTGAACGATTGATGTCAATTGTACAAATAATTGCTTGTACAAATTGCGCGATTAGTACAAACCTCGAGTCGTGATACAGGCGACGGCTTTTCGAGTTCATTTGGGGTATCGGCTTGTAGTTTCCGCATCTATGACCCAAACAGAAGTGTATGTCGATACAAGCGAACGGCCACTTTCTACTCGAGACGCCTTCAAAAACAACAATTTTTCTTACCAGCGCCAATAACGACAGGCTCACTTTGGGCAGGCGATGGCTGACTCTCTGATTCTTCAGCAGCCTGACTGCGCTTTTGACGCTTTGCTTGTGCCATTTTGTTTGATGCTGGATTGATTGTGGATCATACTAGAAAGTTGTGAGCGACGAACGAATGCTTCCAAAACGTGTCATTAATACATATTTGGTATCTTTTATTTCAAAAACAAGCATTACTATACACTATGCTATATTTGCATTTGCATGTGCAAATACAGCTTGGCGAGGTTACAGTGAGGATCGAACGTCAGAGTTGGAAAGCTTAAACTCTTCAAATTCCGCCAAGTCCGGTCTATTGGGAGCCAAAAACATCCGATGATGCGTCACGTCCATAATTATACCAAAGATGGTCTCAAGGCGTAGTTCTGGTGGGTAGTCAAGATTTGCACAAACACAGATGCTAACACACGAATAATAACCTTTTCAGCGATGGAGCACGCCTGCATTTTACTCAACACAGTATACTCACCTATGAACACCATCTTTCTTGTCCCTCAAAAGCGATATGAGATGGTTGACATCGACTGTACCATCGTTTCCCAGTATTGTTCGAGCTCTATCGTATCGAGGAATGGTACTCGGCAGATTGATGTTTTCCATTTTCAGAGTCTTTGGGTTCAATAAGTGATTCGTGTGAACCACTCGAGAGCTGTTCATAGGAGCTACAAAGTCTGCACCAGCTGGTGTCATTTCGGCACACAAATACGAAGTGGCATCCGCTATGGTTATGCAGGAGCTGGCTCCACCCTTCATGTGGCGAGACAAGTAGGCTTTTGCTTCAGCTACACTCTTCTTCTGCAGGACGGCTCGTAAGGCAACGTGAACTGGGAGTCCTGGTTCCTTTGCTGCGTCCATGGTGGTTATGAGGATGTTCAACGTTACGCCGAGATATGCGTTCATGCCACATTTTACTAGCATGCCTAGTGAAAGAAGTGTGGTAAAAGTGAGGCCAGACGCCGTTTGGCAAGTATTCTACATACCAGCTTCAGCGACACACATAACTTCCGGCTCATTCAGTGGAAGTAGATGGAGCAGCACACAATTTTCTCGCTGTTCTGTGATATTGAAAATGTACATTATTTTCTCTGCGACGCATGCCAGTAACACTAACACATACCTGGAGCCCAATCCCAGCTCTGCCCAATGTATGAGGTAGGCCCAATAACCGCAAAAGCAGTACATTCGTTTCCAAAGATAGCACCAAGTTCCTCGTTTGCTTTTAGAGCTGCTGCAGCGTTTTCTGATGCAGCTTTCCCGAGAGTACCAGCCAGCAACTCGGTTCGGACATTCTGAATTGAGAGAGAAGTGAGATTGATATTAGACCTGCTCAAAATATCCCATACCAACGCCAAAATGGACTCAAATGTTTGGCCAGATCCAGCGGCAATCCCTCGCATCTCGTCCAGCAGATCGGGCGAGAATTCGTTGATGACTGGTACATACGCCTTTGCCTTCTCACATGCTTCCTTCCATGATAGACCATTCCTCAAGGAGAACATGTTGGCATCTAACGAAGTTTTGATTGTGATGATGTGTGTCAGCCAGCCATGGGTGAAGCTCGGGAGTGACAAGGCATCACGAAAGGTCTGACACAGGAGACATTGAAACAAGATTCATCGTTTTTCTCTTCCACCATCGTCCCACCATCATGAAAAACACCTACAGAATCGGAGTGATCCACGAATCTTGTCTGGGACTTTAGCACCATATTGTTTTCCTCGTTCGAAGGGTCCTCCTGACATCTCAACGTATGGGAACATGACTGGGTACCTTGCTCTGTGCTTCAAAGCTCCACAATAACTGCAATCGTGTTATCACGTTCCAATGTAAGTGTGACAAAGAAAATCCAGCCGTGAATAAGGCGATTCTTGAACGGCCTCCAACAGTGGAAGGTTAGAGCCAAAGGGCTAGAAGTGCCATTCAATGGGTGAGTCTAGTATAAACTTCCGTTTTGAAGATCTGACACGCCAGGTGCATTTCGCTGCAAAGAGGAGACGACGAGGAAGATATGAAGCAACAAGTTGAGTAGGGAAAGTT